TAAAATACACGTGTAGTATTTTCATTCGGTTTCTGCAGATTACAAACTAAAGTTTTATGCATCATTCGCTTCTTGCAAAATTTGGAAATGAATTCTGTGAAAAAAATCTTATTAAAATTAGCAATTTTAGTTTGCAACTAAAATAATGAGATTTAATTCGTCAAAATTTAGAAAAATAGATATATGAGTAGATACATAAAAAAAAAACCTTATTAATTAGAAATAGAAAAAACTAATTATTTGGAAATATTTGACAAATTTAAATGAAAGTTATAATATAATAAAAAGAGTCAAAACATCATAAAACGATGAGACTTCTCTATTAGTGGTCTTGCACTTTTCAATTTTGTTATTTTTCACAGATACAAAATATTTATAAAACTTAAAAATTCAAAAAGGAAAATGAGTAATTAATTCAAAAATTTTTTAAAAAAATAGAATAGTTAAGTAGTAAAAAACTAAATTACTTCATACATGAATAGAAAATAAAACTAATTACATGATAAAATTTATGAATTACTTGGAAATCAAATAAGAAAAACAACCAAAATAAAAAAGTAACTCTTAAATTATTTTATATCAACAATTTTGGTTTTATTTTGTTTATTTTCATGGGTGATTTATTTATTTTGTTACTTTTTTGAATTTAATTTTTTCATGGATTATAAAATATTTTATTACGGTTTATAAAATATTATATCCAAAATCCGCATATATGCGGGCCCTTTACCTAGTATATATATATATCTCAAAACAAATATACAAAATAATAGGAAAAAACAAATGTTGAAGATGAAAAAAAGAAAAAAATTATATATAAAGGGAAATCTTTTTTTAGAAACACCAAATTTAATAAAATAATCTAAATTAAATAGTCTATTTTTTTTAAAGTAGTATTTTTTGGTGAAAATGCTAATATATCTCGATGATACTCTACCCCTACCGGTCTCGCTGCAGAGCCACTCTTTCCATGGATCTGCTGGTCATTATAGTTTACCCGAAACAAGAGTATTTCGAAAACAGAGATTTATCAGAACAGGAGAAAATAACCAAAGTGGTTAGAGAGGCCCGAGAATGGTAATATGCACATTTGGAACTTAAAAGGGACAAGGAGAGCAACAGTTTCTGAATTACCGCCAATAACAGGCCTGGAGATATGATCTATTGCTACACAGATGAAGCATGGCACGACGATAAGCAGATTGTTGGACTAAGCTGGTCCTTAATTACAAAACTATGAAAAAGAGAGGGTAAATGTTGGTATTATTGCTCATTGTGCCCAAGTAGAAGAATGCAACTGTTGGGCATGGGCTTCAATATTGCCACTTTTGAAGCCCATTTCCGAAAAAGGCCCAGCGAACAGAATGACCCAATAACATTCGGCCCGGAAGAGGAAAGCATGAAGAATTCGGCCCAGAAGGAGGGAGTCTGCCGAGCTCGCCCAAGCAACTGATGATTCAAGCCCAAATTAAGCCCAGCCGCCCCTTGCATTGAATGACATCAGCAATGGTCCCAAGGAAGCCCTAGTACCTTATTCTCTCCACTTTTAGTATAAATAGGGGTCTCTATCCCATGAGGAAATGACCACTTTTTCCACTTTTGGGCAAGTACAAGGGAATTTGAGAGCTTAAAGCAATCATTCTCTAACACCAGAAGGGAAAGAATCACCTGATCGAGTCTGATTGGTCAGAAAGGACAAGAACTACTCATGGAAAGGCTGCGCAGAGTTCGTACTTATCACACCGGCATTTCGACCTCGAGTGCACTTATCATCAGGTTCCGACCTCCGATTCACCGACCTCGTCGTCCAGTTATTCAGTCAGTTTGGATCTCTAACCCGATCTCGTTTTCAATTACAGGTTCCGACCTTGAAAGCGACGGTCTCATAAACTCACCCAGATACTCGGATAACCGAACACAAGGTTCGTCAGCCGACCTAAGCTTCCGAGCTCAATACAAAATCTTTTTCTAGCATGTACAGTTCTCTATGTAGTAGCCCGTCTCCGAGTTAATATCAATAAACGAGAATTTCTGATCCTTTGCTGTATATAAATTTATTGTCGAACTCATGGATCAACAGCAACTCGAATATGTTTGTGCTCTGATTCATAGATTCTTATCGGAACTCTAAATTCATCCAGACAAATCAAGGAAATATATGGGATTTTCCATGACATTGAGAAACTATCTCAAATGTTTGCTTTCATTGTTTTTAGATATCTCTACATATAAAAAAACTTGTATGTTGATTCTCTGGCAAAAATGATCCTAGACTCCTAGGTAACCGGATGAGTGTAACCTTATTTTAAGAGCAATGGAAAGTTTTTTGTTGACCAAAAAAAAAATCTCAATGAATTAGTCTATTGAAAAAAAAACATATTTTCTTATATTAAATTTATAGATTGAAAATTTAAACAAATTCATGTCATAAAAGTTTTTGAAAATAGACTATTAAAAAACAATTTAGTAAACGTTTTACTCTCCTTCTCCAAACAAACAACCCAAACATTCATCCATCTATATTCATATCCGTCAATCAAAACCACATTGTTATCTCAAAATGAATATTTAACCAGCGTCAATTACTCGTTATTATTGTTGCTTTCCATAAAGAAGGCTATGTTCATGAGGAGCAAGCAAAGCCATATAAGCATGCATGGGACGCTTCCATCCATCACCAACCAGTCACAAAAATATCATAATCTTATATATGACCTCTAAAATGAGAACGTTAAACCCATGGAACGAGGTCAAAAATAATGATCAAGTTTAACCTCTCTAATTATCTGGTGTGGATAATCTTAGTTGATAACAAAAGCTCGAAGTAACCCGTTATTCCAATAGATTTTTATTGAAATAGACACCTTATATGATGAACTCGTCCCTAAAAAAAAAATTACAATGCTTGAAAGATTTAATGGAAATGTAAACTTGTCGGTTTACATCGATGGGTCACCAAAAATAATGCTATTCACAAATTCACAATAGTTGATTGTCCATGAAGTAATTAAATTTATGTCAAATAATTGTCAATAATGTAGCGCAACAATGGCGAAATAAATAAATAAATACACTATGTCAAATATAAAAGTTATTAGGGAAATGGAAGATACTGAAATTAAAATAAAATTATAATTTGGAAAAAGTACTATATAGTTTACATTTTTTTGTAACTGATTTTTTTATTTTGTAAAATACACTATGATCACTGTTGGATATAACCTTGCTTTTGC